GAGAGACAGGGAGAAAGGTCTTCTTTCTGTTGGTTCATCCCCCAAATGGCCCCTGCGGCCCGCATGCTGCGCCGACCAGAAGCCAGGAGCCAGTGCCTCCTCCTGGTCTCCCCTGTGGTGCAGGGCCCAAGCACTTGGGCCATCCTCCACTGCCTTCCTGGGCCACAGCAGAGAGCTGGACTGGAAGAGGGGCCAGTCAGAACCAGCACCCCAACCAGAACTAGAACCCAGAGTACCAGGGCCACAGGTGGAAGATTAGCCTAGTGAGCCATGGCACTGGCCGGATTTTTTTCTATTTATGTGAATGTTATGTCTTATGTGAATTATGTTCTTAGAATTATTAATGGGATTATTGGACATTTTGACCATGTTACTTCCCTCAGTTCATAAACATGGAATATTTTTCCATTGCTGTCCCTCCTTGTTCTTTCATTAATGTTTTGTAATTTTCATTACAGAGTCACATCCTTGATTGAAGTTATCCCAACATATTTTAGCTTTTGTGAATGGGATTGGTCTTACAAGTTCTTTCTCAGCCAGGATGCTGTTGAGGTATCATAATGCTATTTTTTTTGTGTTTTACATCCTACCACTTTGCTAAATTCTCTTATTAGTTTTGATAAACACATAATGGAATCTTTTACTTCCCTTATGTATAGGATCATGTCATCTGCAAACAGGGATAATTCGACTTCCTCTTTTCCAGCAGTTTGTATCACTTTCTTTTTCTTGCCTGGTGGTACTGGTAAAACTTGCAAAAGTATATTGAATAATAGTGATGAGACTGCTTCCAGATTATAGTGGAAATGCTTCCAACTTTTCTCCATTCAGTATGATGCTGATTATGTTTATTTTTTTTTTAAACAAATTGCCTTGATTGTATGTCTCTTCTACGGTCAATTTTTCAGTGTTCTTCTTTTTCAGGAAAGGTGTATTTTTTCAAGTATTTTATGTGCATCTATTGAGATAATTATATGGTTTGCCTTCTTTGGTTTATTAATATGATGTATCACATTTATTGATTTGAGTATGTTGAAAAAATTTGTGTATGGGGAAAAATCTCACTTGTTCATGGTAGATGACATTTTTGATGTGTTGTTGGATTTGACATTCTAGTAATGGTTGAAGATTTTTGCATCTGGATTATTCATGATTATTAAGATATAGTTCTCTTTTTTTGGCTGTATCACTGCTTTTTAAATTAATATAATGCTGGCCTCATAGATTGAGTTTAGAAGGGTCCCACCCTTTCAATTATTAAATTATTAAAGGGATCAGTTCTTCCTTAAGAGTTTGGTAAAATTCTTCCATAAAGCCATCTGATTCTGGACTTGTCTTTATTGGAAGGATGTATGTACTTATTCAGTCTCAGCTTTGATTATTGGCCTCCTCAGGTTTTCTATTTCTCTGTTCCTAATGTTGGTAAATTGTTTGTGTCCAGAAATTCATTCATTTCTTTGAGTTGCTCCAATTTGTTGGCATATAGCTGTTTGTAGTAACTCCTAATGGCTTTTTGTATTTCTGTGGTATCAGTTGTAACATCTCCTCTTTGATCTCTAATTATATTAATTGGCATTTTCTTCCTCTTTTTCTATATTATTTAGGCCAGTGGTTTATCAATTTTGTTAATTTTTTAAACAGCTTTCCTATTCACTGGTCTTTTGTATGGTTTTAGGATTTCTATTTTGTTTATGTCTTCTCTAATTTTTATGGTTTCTTTCTCTTGCTGATTTGGGGTTTGGTTTGTTTGTGTGTTTGTTATTCCTGGATATTTCAACGTTAGATCATTTATTTTATAACTTTCTCATTTTTTGATATAGATACCTATTGTCATGAGCTTTCCTATTAACCTTTTCTTGTATCTCATTAAGTTTTTTTTGTTTTTTTTTTTTTTTTTTAGGATTTATTTATTTATTTGAAAGAGTTACACAGAAAGAAGGAGAGACAGAGAGAGAGGTCTTCCATCTGCTGGTTCACTCCCTAGTTGGCTGCAACAGCAGGAGCTATGCCAATCTAAAGCCAAAGGCCAGGAGCTTCTTCCAGGTCTCCAACGAAGGTGCAGGGACCCAAAGACTTGGGACATCTTCCTGCTTTCCTAGGCCATAGCAGAGAGCTGGATAGGATGTGTAGCAGCTGGGACTTGAAGCAGCGCCCATATGGGATGCCAGCAATGTAGGCAGTGGCTTTACCTGCTACACCACAGCACTGGCCCAGTCTCATTTAGTTTTGATATATTGTGTTTTCATTTTTACTCATTTCAAGGATTTTTTAAAAATTTCTGTTTTGATTTCTTCTATAACCCACTGTTTATTCAGGAGCATGTTATTCAGTTTCCATTTGTTTGTATATTTTATGAAGTTTTTTTTGCTGTTAGTTTCCAGTTTCATTCCATTTTGGTCAGAAAAGGTACATGTAATATTTCAATTTTTAATTTGTTGAGATATTTCTTTTTAAAAGAAATATCTATTTGAAATATTTATTTGAAAGGAAGAATTACAGAGACAGAGAGAAAGAGAGAACATCTTCCAACCACTGGTTCACTCCCAAATAGTTACAACAGCTAGAGTTGGGCCAGACTGAAATCAGAAGCCAGGAGCTTCTTCTAGGTTTCCCACATGGGTGCAGGGGCCCAAGCACTTGGACCGTATTCTGCTGCTTTCCTGGGCACATTAGCAGGGAGCTGGGTCAGAAATGGAGCAGCCGGGACTTGAACTGGTGCTCATATGAAATATTTTACCTGCCACAGAACAACCTAGTTTCCTGCTGATACTTATTTCATGGCATAGTATATGGTCTATACTATAGAATGTTCCATGCTCTTATGAAGATAATGTGTATTCTGAAGAAGTAGGGTGTACTATCTGTAGATATCTATTAGGTCAGTTCAGTCCATAGTATATATTAGCTCTGTTGTTTATTTGAGTTTTCATCAGCTCACTGATGAAAGTAAGATGTTGAAGTACCCAATTATTATTGTATTGGAGCTTATGTCTCCCTTTAGATTAATTGACACTTGTTTATATAAAACTGGGTGCCCTAGCATTGGGAGCATACGCATTTCCTATAATCACATCTTTTATTGAATTGATCCCATAATCATAATCTCTTTTGACAGTTTTTGTCTTATAATCCATTTGAATAATAGAGTTTTAGGTTTTCATGTTCATTTTAGATTTCCATTTGCATGGAATCTCTTTTTCTATCCTTTCACTTTCAGTCTTTGTGTTTTATTTTTGGTGAACTGTACTTATTGTAGGCAGCCTGTGTCAACTGTAGATGGTCTTGCTTTAATCCATTCAACCGGTCTGTCTTTTAGTTGGGGAATTTATTACATTTACATAAGTCTTTCATTGTTTTTGATTTGGAAAGTATTTTTTTCATCTTCATTTTTGAATGAGAGCTTCAGTGTGTAAAGTATTCTGGATTGACTTTTTTTTTTTTCCATTTTAGACCTTGGACTGTATCTCTCCATTCTCTCCTGGAGGGTTTCTTTTGAGAAACCTGCTGTCAGTCTGATGGGGGTTTCTTTAAAAGCTGTCTGTCATTTTCTGTAGATTTTAGGATATTCTGTTTATGTTTTATTTTTGAAACTTTGACTAAAATGTGTCCAGGTGAGGATCTTTTCTGATCATGCCTGTAATGGGTTCTGTACAAGTCCTATATTTGAATATCCTCATTGTTCTTCAAATTGAGGACATTCTCTGCTTTTATTTCACTGAAAAAGTTTTCTAAGCCATTCTACTTTTCTCTTCTTTCAGGAACTCCTAAGACATGTATATTAGGTCATGTGATGGTATCTCATAGGTCTTGAACACTGTGTTTGGTTTTTTCTAATGTATTCTTTTTTTGTCTAACTGCGATGTTTTCAAAGATTTGCCTTCCAGCTAAGATATTCTTTCTTCTGCCTCATGGAGTCTATTAAGGCTTTCCATTGTATCTTTTTTGACATACTGAATTTTTCATTTCTAATATCTCAGTTTGATTTTTCTTTAATATTTCTAAACCAGGACAATTTCTTGCCTGTGTCATATATGGATTTGTTTACCTCATATAATTGCTGTTCTGTGTTTCTGAGAAATCTTACCATCATTCTTTTTAATTCCTTTTCAGACATTTCATCAATCTCCTCATCTTCACAGTCTCAAAGTACTGTTGTGTTCCTTTGGAAGAACTGTATTGTCATCCTTTTTTTCTTGTATTTGTCTACTTTTACACGTCTGGGGGAATGCTTGTTGGTATCTACTTGGAAGGCTTTGTTCTTGAAAATGTGCATTTGTAGCTTACTGGAATTTCTGTACCTCCAGCCAATAGCCAGAGTGTGCTGAGTGGTGCCTGGGAGCTCTGGCCAGCATTTGTGGGTACTGCAAGTGTTAGGAGTGACACTCACGTTAGGCATGGTAGATTTCCTCTATCATTGGTGAGGGGGAGAGTGTGGACACACTGGCTAATGTGTTCATGGTCTCAGTCCTTCTCTGTGCCAAGGTGATACAGCTGCCTAGGGTGAGATCAGAGTGGCTGCAAATTCTACCTAATAGGGTTCATGAGCTAATTGCACAAAGGATCTATGTGCACTGTAATGCGAGGGCAGGGCACTGTGCAATGACACCTCCACCCCCACCCCACATACTCAGGGAATTTTAAGTTTCTGGAGTGAGACCCAGTGATTTTCCAAAGAATTTCTCAGTTCCACAGCCTATTGCACAGGCACAGGATTCCCACAGTCACAGGGTGCAGGGGATCTACTATCTGCCCCATAAGCCTCCATTTCCATAGAGACGGCTGCCTTTTCCCTGGAGCTAGCTGCCTGTCCAGCAGAGATCTGCTTTTGGCCTCTGCAGGTTAAGTCCAGAGCTTTGATGGCAATGCTTTGTTACAAATTTTAAAATCTCAAGTGTTCTGAGACATTTTCAAGACTTCTTAAAACATTATTTGGAGGGATTAATATAAAATATGTTTTTGTTATTAAATTTGTGTTCACTAAGTTGTTCTGGATTCTCTAGGAACAGATATCCTATATTATTCCAATTTATGAGACACTGTACACTGTGCATCTTAAGAAAAGGTAATTTTTTATTATTTAGTTTTGGATTTTATTTTATTCCTATGAAGCTGTTTACTCATAATAAAAAAGACAATGAATAAATAATACATATAACTATTATTATTAACAATTTACTTATCTTAGATGACAGTCACTCCCCTGTGACTTAGTTAAAATTTTGGTCCTAATGCCTCAAATGGTGTTTTGTGAGTGGAGATTGGGAACATGAAAAATATGACTCACCTACTGAAGGCCAGGCTAAATGATACTAAGTTTGAAGGAACATCAAGACCTCTGTAATCAGGGAATGCTGTCAAAATAAGTAAATCTGTGACAGATTCTATTATGGAGGATTTTATCAGAGAGGTAAGACCACCTTGAAAATTAAGAGCTGTTATATAGTAATTAGATTTTGCACTGTTACAGGGCTTGTGAATAATTTATGGAAAATACTAGTAGCTATATGCCACTCTTCATAAAATTGGGAAAATAATTGAAATGATTTTCAGCAACATTTAATTTTTTGAAGGAAACCTAGTTGAGAAAGATGAGCTTAGAATTAATTTGTGACATTCCAAGAGGAGAAGAGGAGAGTTTTAGTTCAGTCTGGGTGTGGAACTTTGTGAGAGAGGCAGTTGGTGAGAAACTGGAGTGAGATGTAGCAAGTATTAAAAAAAAATACCTCTTCAGAAACACTGGACAGAGATAGAAGAAAAAAGAGGCTTGGATCCATACATTTTATATTTTGAATCCACATAGATGGCCACAAATCATTTTTATGAGAGGAAAAACAGGGACTTTCTTAGAGATGAAAGGTGTAAACAAAGTGATTCACTCTGTAAGAATCACAGAATTCTTACAATAAAGGGTCAATTTACTCTTTAGACATATTAAAGAGAATATGGTAGATGGCAACTCCAAAACATTTGAAGAGTTCACTGGGATTTGTGGGAAGACTCACACTGCATTTGAATATCACATTAAGACTATCAACAGGGTTAAGAAATAAAATGGAGCTTGGGATATTGATAGGACATGTGTATATTGTTTTGGTGTAAAACCTACATATTAGTATGATAACCCAATGATCAGTAGGAAACTTTTGCAAATAATGTGTAAGAAAAATAAGGAGAAACACCACTATCATTGAAGAAATGGAGATTTTTTTCTAACAGAAACTGAGGGGACAAAAAAAATGATTTGATAGCAGATTGGATATAGTGCTGGCAGGTATTTAGTTGGTCAGAAAAACAGAGATAGATCTCAATCAGAGGACATAGGGCCCCACTGTTGAAGGAAGCTATATATGAAGTGCTTGTGGGACATGCCAGGGGTAATGTTTAGTTGGTGGTAAATTTAATTTAGAACATTGGACAGAAAGTAGTTTTCAAAATCCTTTTATGATAAAGGCTGTCAAAAAATGTAATAGAAATGCTGTACCTCAACCTAATAAACACTGGATATGATGAGTCCATGGATAACAGTGAAATATTGGTAGCATTTTATATAGGATTGAGAACAAGTCAGGGGTGCTTACTCTCACTAATTCTGTTCAATGTAGTGTTGTAAATCCTAGCCAGAGAAATTACGTAAGAGAATGAAATAAAATGAATCACAATGAGAAAGAAAGAAGAAAACTGTTCCTATTTGTATATGATTTGATTTTTTCTGAGTGCTCTGGAGACCCAATAAGCTAAAAACTAATAAACAGCTCAGTAAAGAAGTAGGATACAAAATCAGCTTACAAATCAGCAGTGTTTCTATACACTAATAAAGTACAATATGAAGAAAAATCAAGAAAACAATCTGTTTTATAATATATAAAAATAAAATAGGAATAAAATTTTAAAATTTATTCTCAAGGGACTTATGAAGGGAGGGAGTTGGGGGCTGTAGCAGAGAGAGGGCAAGCCCTCCCATCTGCTGATTCATTCCTAAAATTCCTGTAATGGCTGAGACTGGGTCAGCCCAGAGCCAGGAGCCAAGAACTCAATCATGATCTCTCAAATTGAACTTGAAGTTTCAGTGCATGCGATAAAATGAATATGAGTTTTACACTGTGTACTTTTACTTCATTATAAAAGTTAAAATTTGACACAGTCGTAGCATTTACATTCAAATATCAGAAAGTACCATACTCCTTCATCCGGTTCATATCTCTCTAAATTTTAAAGTGCTTTTCTCCTTTGTCATCTTATTTTCTATTAAGGATCAGTCCATTAAGTTAGGAAAATGATTTTACTAATGTGTATTCTTTGGATAAAGTTAAGTATATCTCAAAAATACTCCTTTTACTCAAAGAGTAACAATTTTTTTTTTCTAAAGGTGAAATAAATATATCAGGCTTTCAAGGCCACATAGTATCTGCCAAATAAACATTGCTATTGTGCATTAAACTTGTATAACTTAAATAAAATTTTAAAAAAGAAAGTAGCCATAAATAAAATGTATATGAACGGTAGTGGCTTTGATCTAATAAAACTGTCTACAGAGAATGGGTCAGATTTGATCTAAATCTATCAGTTTACTGATCACTGCTTTATATGTTTCAAAAAGGACAGCTTTTAAAGTTATCTCTTATATTCAGGTATTTTTTGGCAGATAATTTCATCATTTATTTGTATCATCAAGGAACTCTGGCTTCTCATTCTTCAAATATACAGGTATGATTTAAGTTCTGTGTTTTGTAGAGTTTTAAAAACTTTTTAAAATGCTTTTCTAATATATCAGCTTTCAAGATTCATAGGCAGTATATTTAAGACATTTCATTGATTACATCTTGATTGATCAATAGGCTAATCCTCCATCATTATTTAGACAGGGCCATAAGCAAAGTGGACGTTCTCTCCTCCCTTCAAAGGAAGGTACCTCATTCTTTAATGGTCCCTTCTTTCCACTGGGATCTTCCATATGTGTGTTTAGAAAGTTAATTCTGTACTTTTTAGGTATGGTGTCCTATATACACTAATGTGGTTATTTACCAAGTATACTGTTCAAATCTTCTGTAGATTTTGAAGGCTTGACTTATCAGTTACTGATATAAATTATTTTTGAAATATTTTACTGATACTGGATTTTTATGTTTTCAGTATTCTTTCAATTTTACCTTTCTATTATTTGAAGCTATGTTACTAAGTGATAATAAATTTTCAGTTTGTATCTTCTTGTGAATTGAAATTCTGATCATTATGAAATATTCCTCTTTTTTTCTAGTGATGCTTCTTGCCTCTTGGTCTATATTTTCTTTTTAAATATAGTTTTAAAATCATCCTTTTGGTTTTTGTTTGCATAGTATGTTTAATCCTTTAACCTTCCTGAGTCATTGTATTTTCATGTCTCTGAATAACAGCATAAAGGATTTTTAAGAAATTAAGATTCACGGTGTGTCCCTAAACTTTAAATGATGACTCAAACTTAAATGTAGGAAAATCATTTTACTTGAAACATGAGATAACACTTGGAAACAGGGCATATAGTAGTAATCTCTAATCATAGTCTAAACTAATAGTTAATATATTCAAAGAGGCAAATATGTGGAGAATTATTCTTCTCAATACCACTCTGCTCATATTATTTTAAATCACATAGCTTGTGAAAAATACTCAGAAGATGCAGTCAAGTATAGAAGTAGGAAATCATTAGAAAGTTTTGTCAGTTCCTAAGTAACCACTTTCTTTCTTTCCCAGCCTCACTGTTACTATCAAGGATATGTTGAAGGATATCCAAATTCCATTGTCACACTCAGCACGTGCTCTGGACTCAGGTTATTATTTTTTTGTCTTGGATTACAGAATACCATAGTTAAGCTGTTTGCGGCAAATTTATTGTTATAAAGTGTGGATCTGGAGGAGGATTCTTACATTGAGATTATTCAGTGGCATCCTCACTGTAACATGTTTCTACTTTTCTTACTTATTTTCAATTTCCGCACTTATCAGAGACATTTCTAACTTCCTGAAAGGTTAGGTTCCCTGTTCCCTTACTCACTTATTTTTTTCTCAAGTATATTAATAACAATTGGAGATCCTTTATGACAGTAAATATGAGAAGCAAAAATTAAGTAGCTAATTTTTTTAGTAAATACAGTATTCATGATGCCATCCATGTATCTAGCGTTTAGACAAACAAGACCAAAACATTGTTTTGTTCCTCCCAAGGAAATCATGTTCAGCATGAGCAGGCAAATAATACATAAACATAATTATAATAATCATATTTTTGCTAACATCACCACGATGAACTCTCCGAGAACTGTTGCCTTTCTCTGTTAGTGCTTTTAGAGTTTCCTGTTCTGTCAAGTATTACTACCTTCCTATTGTAGTGCAGGAGCCTTATTCATAGGTGCTTCACAGTGCTTCTACTTGGAGTCTAAAGCAGGCCTGGAATTTGGTTTTTATAGAGTAGGAATTTGAATTGTTATCTGTGTTCAGATCAGGAACATTATACAGATTATTTGCTCTTTATAACATTACTTTTTCCTTTTTTTATTTTTATTTATTTATTTATTTATTTATTTATTTTGGCAGAGTGGACAGTGAGAGAGAGAGAGACAGAGAGAAAGGTCTTCCTTTTTCCGTCGGTTCACCCCCAATGGCCGCTGCGGCCGGTGTATTGTGCAGATCCAAAGACAGGAGCCAGGTGCTTCTCCTGGTCTCCCATGTGGGTGCAGGGCCCAAGTACTTGGGCCATCCTCCACTGCCTTCCTGGGCCACAGCAGAGAGCTGGACTGGACGAGGAGCAACCGGGACAGAATCCGGCGCCCCGACCGGGACTAGAACTCGGGGTGCCGGCACCCCAGGCCAAGGATTAGCCTATTGACCCACAGTGCCGGTCTCTTTTTCCTTTTTAAACGATTCGTTTATTTGAAAGTCAGAGTTACAGACAGACAGAAGGAGATATCATCCATTTGCTGGTTCACTCCTTAAGTGACCACAGTGGTCAGTGCTGAGCCAGGCAGAAGCCAGGAGCCAGGAGCTTCATCTGTGTCTCCCATGTGGGTCTCAGGGAAATAAACATTTGTACCATCTTCTGTGGCTTTCCCTAGGCCATTAGATGAGCGCTGGATTGGAAGTAGAGCATGCTGGACAGGAACCGGCACCCATAAGGGATGCCAGAGTCAGAGGTGGGGGCTTTACCCCCTATTCCACAACACTGGCCACAGAATCTTGCTTTTAGTTTCTTGTTCAGACCATGTATCTAACAAAAATAATGTCATTTACTGTTAAATTTTATAATTAAAAAAATTTTTTATGGTGTACACTTTGCTAGTCAGATAGGATAATAGTTTTTCAAAACCAAACCAGAGAGAATTTCGTCAATATATTATTACTTAAGTTATTGTCTTAGAAAACAGGTGATTTCCTCAATCACTGTAATGTAATATGACTACAATTGACTTAGTAATTTCTTTTTTTGTGGTTTTTTTTTTTTTTTTTATTGACAGGCAGAGTGGACAGTGAGAGAGAAACAGAGAGAAAGGTCTTCCTTTTGCCATTGGTTCACCCTCCAATGGCCGCCGCAGCCGGCGCACTGCGGCCAGCGCATCGTGCTGATCCGAAGCCAGGAGCCAAGTGCTTCTCCTGGTCTCCCATGCGGGTGCAGGGCCCAAGCACTTGGGCCATCCTCCACTGCACTCCCGGGCCATAGCAGAGAGCTGGCCTGGAAGAGGGGCAACCGGGAAAGAATCCGGCGCCCCGACCGGGACTAGTACTTTGTGTGCCGGCACCGCAAGGTGGAGGATTAGCCTAGTGAGCCACGGCACTGCTGACTTAGTAATTTCTTATGCACCTAGAGATTGATTTAGTAATTTCTGCTGCTTTTATACCTAAAAATAAAGATGAAAATGAAACTTGTTTTTTGGATTAGGAAAATCTTTTGTCTTTGGATTTTTCGTGTCATCTCTATAACAGAGGGTTTAGATCAAAGTACGGGACTAAAAAATACTCTATTACTTTACCTTTTCTCATTTGAATTTTTGTCAGAACTTTACAATGTAAATTTTATTAAAAGAAGTTAAATTTTTAATTTTACAGAGGAATACTGCAATTTGAAAATGTGTCTTACGGAATTGAGCCTCTGGAATCTATAGTTCAATTTCGGCATCTCCTTTATAAATTAGGGAATGATAACATGGAATTTTCAAGTTCTAACAATACCAAAAGCACAAGAAAACACCCAGTGAAATACAACATTTATATAGATGAAAAAGTGAGTTATGAATGGTTTATTACTAATTTCTAAGCAGTCATTGGCTCTACTTCCATGAAATATTCGTGTATTAGGCTTTTGTATACCTCTAGCAATCCTTTCCTTGTGAACAATCTAATCTTTTCTTAACCCAACTATTTCTGTGAAACCAAACATCAACTTTTTATCCTTGAAACAATCTGTATTGAATACTTATCACCCACTTAGTTTTCATTCTTATTTCGTTTGTTAGCATTATCTTTCTAAAAATTACCTAGTAATTATTTTTAGATTTATTATTTATTTATTTAAAAGGCAGAGTTACATATATAGGGAGAAGTAGAGGCAGAGAGAGAAACCTTCCATAAGCTGGTTCACTCCCCAACTGGCTGCAATAGCCAGGGTTGGGTCAGGCCAAAGCCAGGCGCCAGAAGCTTCATCCAGGTCTCTCACATGGGTGTAGGGGTGCAGTTACTTCCGCCATCTTCTGCTTTCCCAGGCATGTTAGCAGGGAACTGGATTGGAAGTGGAGCTGCTGCTGGAGCCGCTATGAGATGCCAGCGCACCTCTGAGACTGCTGCAGCTCAGTACCAACCTTGTAATTTTTTAATTGTCAAAAAATGTGCCTCAGTTCTTGATGTAATTGAAGACCTGTTCTTTCCATTGGGATCTCACTCACAGAGATCTTTTTGCCAGAGTGTCTTGGCTTTCCATGCCTGAAATACTCTCATGGGCTTTTCAGCCAGATCCAAATGCTTTAGGGCTGATTCTGAGGCCAGAGTGCTATTTAGGACATCTGCCATTCTATGAGTCTGCTGAGTATCTCACTTCCCATGTTGGATCACTCTCCCCTTTATTTATTCTATCGGTTAGTGTTAGCAGGTACTAGATTGTTTATGTGCTCCCTTTGACTCTTAGTCATCAAGGTGGCATGTACCAACGCCATCTCACTATTCCAAGTGATCAATTTCAGTTCACAATTGATCATAATGAAAGGACTAAGAGTCAAAGAAGGAGGTACCTTTCTCTGAAGGGAGGAGAGAACCTCCACTTTGACTATGACCTTGTCTAAACAAGATAAGAGTCGGAGAACTCAGAGGGCTTCCATAGCCTTGGAAACTCATGACTGGAGCATAGGGAGATTACTGATGCCATAGACAGGAGTGTCAATTGGTAAAGTCAACAACAGGAGTCACTGTGCACTTACTCCTCATGTAGGATCTCTGTCCTTAATGTGCTGTGCATTGAGATTTAATGCTATAACGAGTACTCAAACAATATATTTCACTTTGTGTTTCTATGGGGGTGCAAACTGTTGAAATCTTTACTTAATGCATACTAAACTGATCTGTAAAAAAAAAAAAAAGAAATTATCAATTCCCAACTTGACTCTCACTGGGATTAAACATGACAATAGGTCTGCTCTGATTTCATCATCATTTAAAAAAATCATCTATTATTTTTCACTTTATGTTTCTGTGTGGGAGCAAACTGTTGAAATCCTTACTTAATGTATACTAAGCTGATCTTCTGTATATTAAGATAATCAAAAATGAATCTTGATGTGAATGGAAGGGGAGAGGGAGTGGGAAAGGGGAGGGTTGTGGGTGGGAGGGACGGTATGGGGGGAAGCCATTGTAATCCATAAGTCGTACTTTGGAAATTTATATTCATTAAATAAAAGTTAAAAAAAAATAAGCATTTATAAATTTTAAAAATTAAAAAAAAAAGAAATGGGCAAAAGACTTAAATAGGCATTTTTCAAGAATGGAAATTCAGATGGCCAGCATACACATGAAAAAATTCTCAGGATCACTAGCCATCAGGGGAATGCAAATCAAAACCACAGTGAGGTTTTACTTCACCCCAGTTAGAATGACTGTCATACAGAAATCAACAACCACAAATGCTGGCAAGGATATGGGGAAAAAGGAACCCTAATACAATGTTGAAGACCATATGGAGATACCTCAGAAATCTGAATGTAGACCTACCATGTGATCCAGCCTTCCCACTCCTAGAGATTTAACCGAAAGAAATGAAATCTGCATATGAAAGAGTGAGCAGTACACCTGTGTTCATTTTAGCTCAATTTGCAATAGTTAAGATATGAACTCAACCCAGATGTCCATCAACTGTTGACTAAATAAAGAAATTATGGTATATGTACACTATGGTGTAGTATTCAGCTGTATAAAAAATAAATCTTTTGCAGCAAAGTAGATACAATTAGAAACTATAATACTTAGTGAAATAAGCCATTCCCAAACCACAGCTATCTCATGTTTTCCCTGATCCGGGGTAACTAATAGACCACCTAAAATGTAATGTACTGGAGTGAAATGGATATTTCAAGATTCAATAACTTGCAGCCCTTGTCTTACTTACTGAGGTATGTTGTTTTTTTGCTTCATACTATTTTGGTTTTTTTAAAGATTTATTTATTTTACTTGAAAGTCACAGTTACACACAGAGAAATGAAGAGGCAAAAAGAAAGAGAGGAAGAGGTCTTCCATCTGATGATTCACTCCCCAGATGGCCGCAATGAATGGCTGGAGCTGTGCCGATCCAAAGCCAGGAGCCAGGAGCTTCTTCCAGGTCTCTCACGTGGGTGCAGGGGCCAAGGCCTTGGGCCATTTCTACTGCTTTCCCAGGCCATAGCAGAGAGCTGGATCAGAAGTGGAGCAGCTTGGTCTTGAACCGGCGCCCACGTGGGATGCCAACACTGCAAGCAGCGGCTTCACCTGCTATGCCACAGCACCGGGCCCCATACTATTTGTTGAATTCTTTACTTAGTGTAGAGTTAAACTTACGATCATTAAGTAAAGTGAAAATAAATCTTTGTAAAAACTAAGAGTGGGAATAGGTGAGTGAGGAGAAAGAAGGGTTGGATCATGGGCAGGTTGGAGAGGAGGGTGAGAAGTAAACTGTTTCTAAATCTGTATACATGAAGTGTATGAAACTTGTATAACAAAATTTAAAAAATAATAAAATTATGTTTTGTTACATTGTGCTTTTCCCCAGAGGGGTAGAATTCTGCTGGAATTTGCCCAAAGTGCACTGACTTCTCTAATCACGCCTCATGGACCACTTGCTCTATATTTAGAAAGTGACAGGATCTGCAATGCAAGTTGAGAAGATCTGGGTACTTATGGACCTCAGTATTTCTCTGGACAAATGTTGGAAGAAAGAAAATGACAGAAACGTAGAAAAGTTCTCATACATTTACTTAATTAATGCTTATTATTGTAGCTTACAGTAACTATGCCAAGAATTATATTAGCTTGTATGATGAATGTAGGAAACAAAGGGAAAACAAAGTAGTAACCAAAGCAGTAGAAGCTCACCTTTATGTGTTAATAGCATTACATTGAATGATGCCAAACAGAATTTCATGCTTTCTGAACTGCAACTTGAGATTTCACCTCAGTCAAGGGAAAGACCAAGTTTTTTTTTTTTAATTTTTTATTCTTCCTGTGGCAGCAGGATATGCAGAAACCAGGTGACAGGTTGCATTTAAAGAACATTGTCTGTCGTTAGACCCAGGAGGAAAGATCTGTAAATCCTATAGATGCTGGTTTGAGACCTGGCTGCTCCTCTTCCAAGGCTTTCTGCTGATGGCTGAGAAAGCAATGGAAGATGGTCCAAGTACTTGTAACCCTGCACCCACAAGGGAGTGCTGGCTTCGGACTGGCCCAGCTCTAGCTGTTGTAGCCATTTGGGGGAGTGAACCAGCAGAGGGAAGAATCTCTCTCTCTCTCTCTCTCTCTCTCTCTCTGTGCCTCTAATAAATAAATAAATCTTGGAGTGATGAGCACAATTTTTAATTCAGCTAATATAAATGAAATGAAAAATACTTCCCTCCCCTACTTTCCTCCCTCTTTCCCTCCATTTTTTTGTGGGATTCTTGAACAGAAAGGTGAAATAGCAAGGGATTTAGGAGAAAGCAGTCTTTATTATGCCTACATAAGGCTAAGTAGGATTCTTATCCAAAAGGGACTGGGCCTGGAACAAAGTCATTTCATTAGGTGATTTTTAGCTTCTTTGTCTCCATAATATGGCTACATACATACCTTTGGTTGGACATTCTTTTTTTTTTAATATTTATTTGAGAGGCAGAGTTACAGAGAGAGAGAGGGAGCGACCATGAGAGAGGTCTTGTGTCTGCTGGCTCACTCCACAAATGGCCATAATGTCTGGAGTTGGGTTGGTCCAAAGCCAGGAGCCAGGAACTGCTTCCAAGTATCCCACGTGGGTGCAGGAACCCAAGCACTTGAGCCATCTTCATTGCTTTCCCAGGCCATCAGCAGAGAGCTGGATCAGAAGTGGAGCACCCAGGAAAGGAACCAGCACCCATATGGGATGCTTAACTTACTGTGCCATAGCGCCGGCCCCTTATTGAACATTCTAATGCCATGAGACACTTATAGATAAGAGGCTGTGCCTGCCTGGTTGCTATTAATGTTTAACTAGTCTCCCTTAATAGACCTAGTATTTCTTCCCTACACATAAAGAGCTGTAAGCTCTCTGGTGTTGGCTAGCATCATCACTCTGTACTTACAGGCAGAAGCTGAAATTCTTAGAAGCAAGTAGATAATGGCCACATTGCATTATCAAGGTAGGCTCTTTATTTCCTGTATTTGGGGAAGATCCCTATCACACCTTGCCCTTCCCCCACTTCACATTTCTCCTCCCTTCCCCTCCCTTTTCTCCAGCCTTTCAGGGCTGCTGCTTCCTCTGTGAAATAAATGTTTACCAATAAATTACTATTAAATGCTAAACAATCTTGGTTGCTCACTGTAATACCTGTCAGTGATGAACTTGTGAGAAAAATCAAGAAAGAAGATGGAGAACAGTGACTCAGTAAATATTCTATAAAAGCATGAATTTAAAAAAAGAAACGGAAGTACTAAATTGGACATAAAAGGATTTTGAGGGAAAAATAGTATGTAAACTTTAAATATTCACTGGTGTTAGAATCAATAAATGAAAAGAAACCACCAATCAAACATCTTTGGTAT